GGGTACTCTAAGAGGTACTATCAGGGCGCGATAATGTACTAGAGGAATGGTTACTATCCAAATGGGGCTTTCGGGTCAGGGGTCTAGCGTCTGGGTTTTGGGGGGTTGAAGGGGTTTAGCAAGTCGAATCTACAGTCTGCAGGCTTGGCTTTTGGCAGGAGGGGACCTGGCTTCATGAGCGTCTGCAAGGCGTATGGGTCTGTCATACAGCTTGAAGTCGGTCCAGGGTGTTAAGGGCATTTAGTGTTTGCATGGGGTCTAGGGCTTGGGGAAGCAACTTGGGCTCTTCTTGGCATCAGCAGATCAAGCCGGTCAGCGTGTTCATGGGTACTTGCAAGGTAGGTAAATCTACGATTGAAGAAACCTCTGTAGTTGGGAGTTGGGATTAGGGGGGCCCCTTGAAAATATAGACCCTGTCAACAAGGTCCCTTTGAAGAGAGCCAAGACGGACCTAGGAATAGCACAGTAACCCAAACCCTACACTCCAAGCTCGAAGTTAAGCCTTCAAAAATCCTAAGCCCCAGCATATAATGAATGGAATGGATCACTCCTGCGATCTTCACCACAAAAAGCCAGATTGCAGAAAGTTCCGAGTCCGCAGTGAAACGAAATTTGGATACCCAATAACCCTAGACCCTAAGCCCCCAAGAAGGAGCCTGCCTAGGCCGTTTAGGGTTTAGGGTTTAGGGTTTAGGGTTTAGGGCCTCGGCCGTCTGCGATCCTCCCGAAACTTCATGTTCGGTTCCATTTGCAGTTTGTGTTTTGCGAGTCCGGCGTCTTGGCTTAGTTTTATGAACCCTGCCAACCCGTAAAACTGTAAACCTTACACTCGACCACTGAACTATAAACCCTGAGCCCTCCTCAGTTTGAAAACCCCCTGACATCCCTAAACCCCAGACCGTTCATTCTCCGTTCCTAGCGGGCAGGAGCTGGGGCAACACCGGATGTGCCTCAAAAGCATGGAGGACTGACACAAAGTAGGTACTTTTTGACTCAAGACCCGAAAGTAGGTCTTTTTTGTATCCTTATAGTCTTAGGGAAGCTGAAGCAGCTCGCTCTGCCGGGCTTCAGTGTTCAGGGCGAATATCTATTCCACGTTCGGGCCTTATCATGGAAGATCCGTTCCAGCCTGATCCGAAGTATTGCAGGTACCTCAAGCTTGATCGGAGCAGCAACACCCACATGTGAGTCATCCTCTGAAGCAATCTTATGTTGAGGTTGCGGTTTCGCCGGTTGCTTCGGTCACTTTTGCGATTGCTTGCATCGCTATCCTTACCACCAGCAATTGTAGCACCAGTCTCAGCAACATCCAGTACCAGCACGACCCTCACAAGACACTATCCTGATGCTTCTACTCCATATCATCACGGTCACCACTAACCGCGAACTGTTTACCAGTCGCATACCGACTCTAAGTGCCATTGTCGTCGTCACTGGCATCGTCATCGTCATCGTCGTCAGTGGCACTACCTTACTTACTGTAGTAGCATCAGCCTTACTACTTTTTTCGCGGTAGGGACAGGCTGCTTGATTCCGACTTGGTCCGAATAGGCGCGTTCCGAATTCGCCTTCGCTACTAGGCTCCAAGGGCCCAATGTAATTTCGTACTTGGGCTTTGGGTAGAAGTTAAGTAGGTGAGTATGTGAGAGAGTACCTTAAACTGCCATAGCCTGCTTTAGGATGCCCCCGAATTCATATGGAATTTATAGGGACCCTACAAAAAAGTAGGTTTTGGATTATGATGTACTTGGACCCTCAGAAAGCTTGTAAGAGCAGTATCAAGCTTGAACGTTTTGTGGACCCTGTGCATGGAAGTCCAAGCAAAGGCCGATCCACTCACAACGTTGTTCCTTGTGCAACATTACCCCGATCATCCAATATCAAGTAACTAAGTTATACCTTCGATTCTGGTAGGACTCGTAGTATGATCATGATTTAAGGAGTAGTCCTTAAACCCTAAACTAAACCCTAAATTAAGGTATATGGGATGATCTGGATAGTTCACAATACCCAAACCTTTATTCCAACACACAGGATTTGACCGTGGGTCTGTCTAAACTTCCGCAACATCCCTAAGCCCCGTATCCCTACTTTCTGAACTACAGGGTTTAGGGTTTAGGAGCTTTAGGGTTTAGGGACTTTGGGTTTAGGGGTTTAGGGTTCAGGATTTAGGGAGCCATCAGGATAACCTGAAGCAGTGCCGGACCCAATTGGCCAGGCACCCAGTTTGGTTTCCAGAAACTTCATCATCGCTCAATTATCTAAGAGTTCTTTGCGAAGGCAATCTCCATGTACTTTGTGGAGTACTCCTCAAATCTCAACCATGGAATGGGATGTCAGTCAAAGTCACCGGGTTCCTTCACGGCACTACTGGTGAACCATGAAAGCTGCTGCTGTGCTAAAGCAGGCCAGACACGTACACCCTGAAGTCTAAACAGTAAATACTCACCATGGGACCCTAAGCACTAATCTCTGAAGCCCAGACCCTAAACCCTAATCCCGGAACCTTGGACCTTAAAAACCCCGAAGAAACCCCAAACCGAAGACCCTACACCCTAAACCCTAAACCCTAAACCCTAACCCTAAACCTAAACCCTAAACCTAAACCTAAACCTAAACCTAAACCCTAAACCCTAAACCCTAAACCCTAAACCCTAAACCCTGAACCCTCATCTCCGATACTCTCTGCGGGCCTGGCAGATCTCACCGCGCCCGGGCGGTGAGTCGGGCCGGGGGGGTTCGGGACGCCTCCCTGGGGTTAGGGGTTGTTTAGGGTTTAGGGTTTATAAGGGTTTAGGGGTTTTAGGGTTTAGGGACTTCGGGTTTAGGGTTTTTAGGTTTTAGGGTTTAGGGTTTTAGGGCTATCGGTTTTTGTTTAGGGCTTGAGTGTGCCAAACGTGGCATCAGCGGGGAGCAGGGGTCTGCTCTTGCGCCTGGAAGTCAGGGACATTGGCCGGCACCGGTCAGGACTCATGAGAATCCGTCCAGGGCTCTTGCGTTGGTGTCTACCGCCGACATGGAAGCGGCCAGCTTGCTGCGCAGTCCCTTATCGCAATAATGCTCCAAACCAGAATTTCTTTGCAGGCAGGTAGATTGCCGTAAATCGACCCTCAATCCTAAACCATATATATATATACATATACATATACATATACATACATATACATACATACATACATACATACATACATACATATACATGTATATATATATATATACACATACACACACGCACACACCCAACAACCCTACCAGCCCTACAAACAGCAACCCCAGTCCCTAAAATTACCCCTCAGTTTGGGGTTTAGGGGTTTTGGGATTTAGGGTTTGCGGTTTAGAGGTTTGGAGTTTAGGGTGTAGAGTTCTGTCTGTTTGTCCGTCTGTAGTATATATATATATATATACATGCACACCTCTAGATGTATGTGCGCGCACAGACAGACAGACCGACAGACAGAAAGGTATGCATATATGCGTTTGCACAGTTAGACATATGTACCGACTGACAGGTGGATAGACATAGATATACAGTTAGACACACACGCATACACGCGCACACGCACACACAGATTCATGTACAAGGGACGTGGGCGTAGCCCATGGTGACGAAGCTCAAGACCCCAAAGCAGACCATGGAAACCGTATTTTCCTCGGTTTCCAAAGCTCTAATCCCCATAAGTTCAGGGTTTTAGGGTCCTGGATTCTAAGGTTTTGGGCTTTAAGTTTGGGGTTAGGGTTTAGGTCGAAGCTCCATAAGCCGTGTAAGAACACCTACGCATTCCGATGAAAATATTTAAATACTGAATCCCCTACGTGGGTGGTTCTCTACATGAGGGTCCCTGTTTAGGTCCCAAATATAGTCCATAGCACGGCCCGCTTATAAAAAGGACCCGAAAAGGGACCCTAATTGAGAACTACCTATGTAGCCCAGATCTATTGAAAAGCTCCAGGATTGGAAGCGTCTAGACATGGAGGCAGCTGGCGTGAAAGGTGCAGTCTGGGTTTAGGGTTGAGATTCCACCTCAGCTCTAGTCTGAAGGGCCTGGGTTTGCGAGGGCGTCATAAGGGTTTTATGCGCCCTTGCTCAGTCCGGTGTAGCAGGGTCTTGCTTCTTCGAGTTTGGGGCTTGCGGCTTTGATGGTTAGATTCCTCGGTTTTATGAGACCCAAGCCCGAACGCCCTAAGTCCCGCACCCGGCACTTTACAGTACAGGCTTCGCGGCTGTAGGATTTAATGCTGACTGGCCGGGTCAGTTGCCGCGAGACCTCGCTATCAAACTATTATCCAAAATGAAAACCTGAATGAGACCGGAATCAGACCCTCCGCCATTCAATGGTTCAAATTTAACATGATGTTTCCTGCTTTGTGTAACTCCATGCAAAGTAGTCAGCATGCATTGAGGCGCTGTGGGCTAGTAGCGGCTAGTGCACAATGTTGGGCCCGGGTCCTGATTCCAAGTGGCACCGGTGTGTTTTGTCGCCAGCACTGTCTGCCTAGCTAATTTGTTCGTGACCCTGAAGTCCTGTGCCCGTCCCGTATCCTACTGTGCGCAGCCTCCGTGCTAACCACGACCCTTGACACGATGCCTGACAGCGATCGGATCAGACACCGTCTAGCGCGGGAGGCGGACGACCCTCTGCCAAGACAGTTTGCATGTCCAAGGAGACACGTCAGTATCCTCCTGTCCGTGTCCGTTCCTGTGTGTCAAAGGAAGTGAGCGAATGAGTGTGCAAGTATTTTTGTCAGCTCTCTTTCGCCTGCTCAGTTCGTATGTTTCCTACTTTGCCTGTGCGGTTGAAGGTCATTGTTACACGAGTGCTTACTGCCCCTTGTCGACAAGATCTACCACAACGGGATTTCCGAAGAGGGCGATTTCCGAAGAGGCCACCGTCATGGGCATGTTGTCGGCCCAAACTTGCACAAGGCTGGCGGCGGCTACGCGGATACCCTCATGACCTCCGCCGCGGTCCTCGAGACAGTCCTGCGGAGCAGCGAGTCGGATGGGCTCAGGTCTTTGCCTTACTCGCCGTCCGAACCTCATGTCACACAGCTCCAATGCTTTCTTGTCGGGTTTCGCACTGCGCAGAGAGGATTCAAGAAGAAGCTGCGAGGGCGAGGAGGATATTGAAGACAAAGCTTGGGCAGCTTTGAAGAAGAGGCGCCTTTTGCCCGGGACGGCGACGTCTGATGAAGACTTCCGGCAGCTTTCTGCGCATTTCGAAGACGTCCGGTCGGTCTTTCAGAATGAACAGCCAGACGTCCTGCATGGTTCTGACAGCACTGTCCAGATCGTCTTAAGACACAAGACGAGAATTGCCAACAAGTACCCCAATGTGTCTGCGTATATGACAAAGCATATTCCAGCGGGAGATGCCCCGCCAAGGCGAAACATAATATGCGCTTTCACCGCGGAGACTGCTACATCTTGCATCCAAGCGGTGCCTTTCAACACGATTACAAAGGTCTTCCCTTGGGTTGCAGCTCGTTACTTATTGTCTTGATGGACACTGTGGTGAAGTTCGAGAGCCTGCCGAAGAATTCTAATTTGGGCCTGGGTTACCGTTGCCAATGGAAGTGTAGAGTTGTCCACATGAGGCAACTCACCGAGGCGGAGTGCGAGAAGGCTCTGCATGAGGAGCCCAGAAATCGCTCTCGACCGTGTGGAGCGGTGGGTGCAGGATCTCGTGGAGGATCTGGGTGCGAAAGGAAAAGGTCAAGGGTTGAGTGCCGGGCCGACGCTGTGTGCACAACCATTCAAGCCTACGGAACTACACTGAGGGCTCCAACCAGAGAGCTATTTGGAATTAGGATTTAGTTTACGGCTTAGGGTTGAGGGCTTATTGGGATTTTTCATGTTGAAGACTTCCAGATCTTGGTATGGTGTGACGGATCCTAGGGTACGGTCGAACTGTATGTTTAGAAAACCCTATTCCTTCACCAGAGTCTAGCACATTTTTTAGTCGGATATAGCCTTTAAGAAATACCAGAAATGCACGAGAGTTTCAGCACATTTCATATTTGACACTGAAGGGTTAAAGAGTTCAAAATTAAAACTGAGCGACATTGAACTTTTCCAGGTTCCTAGGCTTGTCTAATCCGGAGCCGTGCTCCTACCCATCGACCCGTTAAAGTAAGCACAGACGTCCCCATCCAAACTCAACCTATGTTCTGACAACAAAGACAGTGAACTCTAACTTTGCAGGCCCCAACCAGCCTTAAAAACCACAATCAGCTCCTCTTCTGCCAGCAGCATGCCATCCAAGCGGTGGGCGTTTTTCCCCTCAATAGCCCCTAGACCCTTAGCCCCAAGCCAGCAACCTTAAACTTTAAAGCCTACAGTTATAAGAAGTATTCCGTATGTTCAAAAACCCGGCGGCCCCGCCCAAAGAGGTACGTACTGTAAAAGTTTTGTTTGTTTTAATGTCCGCATATTTAATTATAGCCACCGCAACCCTACCTGCATTCTGTTATTAGCACCCTATAACTCTATAGTTTTTTTGGTGTGTACCAGAGTCTCAGCTCTTGTTTGATAATATTTCTTAACATACCGGTTCACCGTACTCTAGATGTTTTTTTGAGAAGTATCTAGAAGGGATTCACGACGGGTCTATAATATAAGGGATCTAAAAGGGTTTAAGTTTTGTTTGCACTCAATCACCAAACACATGCCAGGAATTGATGCTGCTGGCGGGTGCGGCACCCAAAGCTTCTGAGACCCTACCAAGCCCGTGCAAGGCACTCCAAGCACGGCAATACAAGGCTTAAGGGCCTGAGTAATGATCAACACTCATGTGGGATTCCTTCAGAATTATACTTATGTAAATTTAATATATCCCAGGACCCTATTCTAACTATTGAAGCCTCTATGGCTTGACGGTTTGACAGTGTATAATTTAGGTTCATTGTTAGTTTGTTGTTAACCCTGGTTCGGACCGTAAATTTGTTGCGACCTCTGCGTAGAGCCATAGCGCAAAAGGTGACGATGTGATATTTGACCGTTTACGGCTCACCGTCAACTGTAAACGCTTAGCTGCCCTAGCTTTGGAGGTTCTCAGTGTCCGCGCCAAGCCCTAAGCCCTATAAACCCCAAACCGTGCGGTGTCGGGGCCACAGTTGCCAGACTTGGAGTTCAGAACCTTCTATGTACTTGGACCCTTTGGACTTTGAAGTCACCTCAATCAATCCCCAGAATCCTATTCTCAGCATTCGGGCCCCTTCCGTGCGCGTAGAAGCCCAGATCTCTGGAGGTTTGATACACAGACCTTCCAACATCGTTTATTTGAGGAATGCACAGTGAATCATATTTGGGATCCGACCTTAATTTAAGGCATATTTCTTAGATAAGGGAAATTGGAAGGTCTGGGTACTAGAACTCGTTGATTTGACATGAAGCATTGGCCCCGGTCTCTGGCTAAGAATGTTGACCCCAACAAAAGCGGTTTACTGTGCTCTCTCATTTATGACTAAGATATATAAAGAACATGTATGTATACCTGCCGTATGTATATATGTATATATGTGTATGATTATATATGTATATATGTAGACACTCATATGATGTTCTTATACAAGTCCTTAAAGCGGTAGGTATTTGGGGTTAAACCTAAGCTCTGAGAGTGCCGCGACTCAGGGGTGCGGCCGATGACGAGGGCCCGGTTACATTGGAGCAGGCCTTGCCTGACGGTGGTTCCCGAAGGGCCCTATGTACCTACATAGTACCTGAAGAACCCAAAACCCACTTTTTTGTAGGGTCCCTATAAATCCCATATTAGGGTTTATAGTACGAATCTACAAAAAAGTGGGTTTTGGGTTC